AGCGATATATAAATAAATCCAAAACTGGTTTTCTGTTCTTAGGGTGTCTGGAGTTAGAAGGCTACGTAAAGCTAACGATTTATCAGAGTTTGATTAAAAAAAAAAAAAAAAAAAAGGTGGTCTTGGAAACAGTATCCCTAAATTAGCGCGGCTTATGAACTGTTTATGTGCAGCTATCCTGAGTTCATCAAAAATAGTATAAGGAAAAAGGATGTACAAACGATGTATCTTCCTTCAGCTCTGTGTCGTCCACGTGCGGGGCTGCAGTCCACCAAATCAGCCACAACTGCAACAATGATGAACATAGCACATAACTCATTTAATCTGTTTTCTGCGTACACCGTCTTAGCCGTAGATCCAGCAGGATCTCAATGCTAACTGTTCCTCACCGACAAAAGCCTATGAAATGGACAAGTACGAATACAAGTGGGCGGGACTCGGGAATTTCACCATAGGTTATACAGGTAGAGTCCCAAAGCACTAACTGTGCAGCTCCACCCAATTTTGATGAAGGGCACTCTGGAGGACGGTCCGAGAGTCTCCGACCGCTTTCCCTTTGCCAGCGAACCTCTCTAGAGAACTTTCGACTCGCCAGTATTTTAAATGCTCCATTCTGCACAGACACCATACATAAATATTCACGCCTTCTCCGGGATTCGAACTCGCGTCAGTTGGAATGGCAAGGAGCGTCGCTAACCATCATATATCTACGAGTTGAACAAGGTACCAATTGTGAATGCTTATTTGGACTTCAAATAATGGCTTCTACTCCTTTATATCTGTGGCTACAGGCTGTGAGTGAAAGCTTACAGTCGTGGTTTCGTCTTTTGAAGCGTAAGTCGTCAGCCATTCGAAGCGGTTACAGAATGGATGACGGGAAAATTGTCATCTGGAACTATGTTACGATTATATTGAACCTTACTAACTTTCGCGCAAGCAGTTTCCTAAATAAAAATTAAAAAAAAAAAAAAAAAAAAAAAAAAAGAGGGGGGGGGAAGAATTCTTTCTTCGTTTTCAGTTTTATTCTTAAAGGCATGGTGTGATTACCGTTTGGCTATCGGTCTGGTCTATTTGACTTCAGTTGAGAGACGGCAAGGTTTTAGACTAGTCACTGTAGAGACAAGTGACGTAGTTTATAGCACACGGACGAACTGCTTGGAATTTCTCCTTTCTTATCGGCCGCATATTGTGAAATTAGTAATTGATGATGTTTTTGATTAATCTTAATGAAAAAAAAAACAGTGAAAGAAAACATTGGACCGTACTATTTTTAACACAAAAGTATTAGACAGCCAATAATTAATTGTAAAATTATGCTAAATGTGTTCTACTGATTATGAAAAACAATAGAACATCAACATATCACTTGTGAATGCGACTGTGGAATTATATTAAAATGTACGGGATTTCAACACTTTGTAAAAGACGACAAATGAGCTATTAACATTTTATCATTTTGGCAGATTAAAATGTCACATATGCGCACGCGTGTGTGTACGGGTCTAACAACACAATAGAAACTGTTATAATAATAAACATCTCTATTATAATATGAAGCTGATGACTATGATATGGAAAATTAACTCGCAGCTTTATTTATATATATGTATATAGATAGAGATATATTAAACAAAAGAACAAGTCTTGAAAAAAATTGGTATTTTTTAATGCTAATAGATTAAACAAATATGCTGTTTCATGAGGAAACCGCTAGTCCAAGAACCTTACTATTCTATAACAGTAATCTAATATCATTTTAGTGTCTACCAATAAGGTAGACAATCATAATTATGTATCAAGATATTTTGCAGGCAGCTGTGATTTCAATCAATTAAATAATATGAATGACAAAGATTGAAATTTATTGTTATTTTTAAAATTCATAACTATTAGATAGAATAATTAATAAAATACAATAAATTTGATAGATTTTTAAAAATCATGTCTCCTTTCACTGGTATCATTTTAAAAATCATATTATAACTTATTGGTACGTTATTTTTTAAAGATGTTCATTTTATGTTAATTTAATTTTTAATTTAATTTTATGTTATTTATTTATTTATTATTTCTGTAAAATAATAGATCTGCATCAAACATAGGATGATCATTTATTTTGTTGTAATTCAGTACTCCCTTGAAAAGCCATGAAGAGCTTTAGTTTAAATTCTTCACATATTAATTGTCTATAGTTTGTTTTAAATGGTAACAAAATTAAACAAAAATAATTTATGAAAGAATCATGGTGTTACTAAAATTTATAACTTTATTATTTTTTTAAAAAAAATGTTATAATGGGATTTTTCTTGATAATGAAACACATTCCTTAATGGGTTCATAGTATTTGTTCATAAGGTGTTCCAATGTTATGTTTTAAACTTTCTTCATATTGTAGAAATATCAGTTAACCTCTTCTCTGTCTTTAAATTATTAACTGATGAAAAAAGTATATGCTAGTGAAACATCTAGTGATAAACAGAAAAAAATATTGCTTTTTAAACAAAATATATTTTGTTTAAAAAATATAAATAACCTAGTTTTTTTTTTACAGTAGAAATTGCATTCATGTTTTCCGAATATGGTTCCAAATATTTTCTGAGTTAATTATATATCATGATGATGAGCGTGAAATATGAAATGAAGGCATATGCGGGCAGAGAAAATGTTTCGTCGTGTTTACAGTAAAAATAAGGGGTCGACTTAAAGATCTGCCTTCTTCTTTGAACGGACGAAAATAAATATAGAATCATTCGACTGCTAAGACAGGATTGACTACAGCCAACATCTTTTCCCGCTTCTTATACCACTTCCATTTTTTGGAATAAGTGCCTATGTTGGATATTGCTGGTTTTCACTCATAGAAGATATTGGCTTTTTGCAAACTGAAGACAACACACGGACTGTAGAATCCGAGCAATTGTCAGATGAATTGAGATACCCGATGCATTACGTTGATAGTCGAGTACATATCCCCTGATTATCAGTCAATGCTGTGCCACTGGCATATACTCATGTAAATGGGAAAGTTTAGTTTACCAGTGTAAATAAATAATAAAATTTCCTGGGTTTTGTTTTAAAATTGATGAGATTTTAATTCAAATATAAATAAATTTGCAAGTATTAACATTTCTTTATAAAAATCTGTATCATTTATATGTTTAGTGACATCGTTAATTAACTTTTTCTATCATATTTAACAGTTATCTCATAGTTTATTATCATTCATTTCATATAAATTGCTCAAAATTGAAACCTGCGGTTTTGATCATTGTTTTGTCTCTGTTTGTAGTCAAATTGTGTACCATTCTCCTCCTTTAAATCTTTTTCCTGATTCATTTTTTTTTAGTGTTGAATTCACTACATAGCCTCTCTCGTGCACCTGATAAAAGTGTGTTAGAACTTTAATCAAAACTGTAACTTTCTACCAGTATCAGGAATTTTTTTGTCTCTGTTAACAATACTGCTAAATTTGTATTTACATGCTCCACATATATTTCTGTTTACAGTTTCTTCTACCTGCATATGATAAGTATAACCTGCATATAATATGCATATGATAAGTAGCAAGGAATAAACAGGAGGACAAAATATTCAACAAGCAACATTAGTGCCTGCAATTGTATCTACTATCACAGCTTGTATTTGTTTAGATCAGTGATCGCCAAAGCGTCAATGGCGAGCTGCTAGTAGCTCACGGGTACATATTTAGTAGATCGCGTTAAAACTCTTGTCGGCTAACCTTGATTGCTCCACTGAGCTGATGCTGATATCTGCTTGTTTCTCCTGTGCAACTGCCATTGTCAGCCTCATCTCATAGTTGATTGTATACAACATGAGATTGTGGTTATGTGTTTTGTGTGTATATTAGACATTTGCTAACTTAGATAGTTTGATTTACGCGTCGGTACTAAGCTAGGTGTGTTCTAACGATGACGTGTTCAAGCGAAAAACTTATCCCTTTCATTCGAAATGGGAAACCGATTACTGCTTTACCCAGGTAAAGAACAAATATATGTGTTGACTGTGCTATGCAAGTGTATTAATTAGTAAGAAAGTAGTGAATTCAAAAAACGCTTCCAAAATTTCAAAAGGATTTCAATTGTTTGTCAAATTGCCTTTTATAGAGATTAATGCTGAAGAGTTCTCTACTTGTGTTATGGAGCTGAATTAATTTTCAAGATGATATATCTGTAAAATGACTTTCTTCAAGCTCTGAAAATATTTGGCCTCTTGTTCCTGAAGTACAATTTTTGTATTTGCAAACAAATATCAATAATAATATAGATTTATTCAGTCAGAATTTTCAATACTTTGGTGTTTAATACTTTTTAAGATCATTATGAAAGTTTGAACATTGGGAAAGAAAACATTAATAACGTGAAAGATTTCTTGGCATTATTTTGTCTGCACTTTCATTTTATATTTCATGAATTCGAGTGGTACTTAACGATTATTCAAATTTAGGGATTAATCATATTATGACATTAATGCCAAGCTGATTTCGAGAAAATGATACTATTTATCTCCCTAAATGTTGTAAAAAATCTTAATGAGCCAGATATAATAAATAAATGAAAACAATTTCATTGCAATTAAAAATTTTTTTTATAAATATTCTTCTATCATAGGATTTTAATTTCTTCTTTTGCATATTCTGCCTTCTACATATAACGATTAAATACCATGCATTCAGAAATACGTAAGAGTTAAGCATTTTGTTCTTAAAAATTTAGCAGAGTTAGAGTCAAGTTAATATGTTTTTGAAATATTAATTTGAAAAGATGGTTTTAATTGTGCATCATTTAATGTTAAAATGAGTGTTTGTTTTCAACACGTTGAAAATCTTTATTACGTAATATATTTTAGTAGTCAAAACACTGAAAAATAGATCTGCACAATGTGTAAAATAGTGTGTAATGACACATCTGTTGTTAAATATTTGAGAAGAAAGACTACCCTAGAAACAGTAGTTGTAGTTATTGTTTATTTTATTACTTTAGGAAATGAAAATAATTTTGACAATAAACAGACCACCCCACCCCCACCACCTAGAGATGCCTCAGTGCAGGGTAAGATGGTTTCTCAGCCACACTGCATGGCTAACTTTCGCTTACTAACTGCCTGCTATAACTCCAACATTGTATATAATGTAACTGAAATCAGAACCATATATACTTTTCTGTTGAGATTCCTTCAGTTTTCTAATATTATAAATTGTTTATATGAACATGAATAAAAAATGATAATGGAAGAACAAAGGTAATTACATAATTATGACTTTTTTCATATTTATGAAAAGTGTGTCATTTTAATTAGAGATAAATGTAACCTTTTTCTTTTTAAAATTCTGTGCATTCTAATATAGAATTTTTCTTAGAGGCATGCTATGTATTAAGTTGTTAAATAACTTTTTATAAGAATTAAAATGGAATAGAATTTTTGTGATGCTTTTGCACAAGCTTTTATTTCTTCTAAAGCGGATAGTTTGAGTTCTTCAGAAACTTAAGGGTCCTTTTCATGTCTGTTTTAAACTAATTGTTTATTTTTTACCAAATTATTAAAACTTTCTTTTCAACAGGATACATTTTCTTTATTTCTGCTATAAATTTTATGATGTGAAAAATGTATTTATTTTAAACTCCTTTCTATACATTTCACCATTTTCATTCTGCCATTCACTGCATTTTCTTCCCTTTATAGAAGAGAGCAGTGAAATACACCAACATTCAGAAGGTACTGATTTTGTTGCAAATTTTCATGTTGCTGCATGCAATTTCTGTCATCAACTTGTATGCTGTGAAATACTGTAAAGTTAAATAAAATAATTTGCATTTAACAATCAATGCATGATTCAGATTTTATTTAGGGATCTTGATAGGTTGATTAAGTTAATAGATTATAAAAAAAATGCTTGAAAAAATTACTTCAATATATCTTGGTTTATATTTTATTATATGAGGCAAGATTTTTATCTTTTAACATGGTTAAAAGTTATCTTCACTTGCATTTTATGTCAATGAAAAATGCTTCTTTTATACATTTTATATATACTTTTCTGCAGCAAAAGAAAGTTGCAAGGGCTTGTAAATCAATAAATGAAGCATTTATTCAAATATTTTATTATTCTGTGCACTCAAAAATATCTATATTTTGTACATTAGTGTCTGGCAGTTTAACTCATTTGCTTAAAGACTGCTGTAAATATCTAGTTGTACATCAAAATGAACTTACAATTTAATATTCAGCAAAATTTCTAGTTACCTTTTTCTGTTATGGAAATGTAATCTCAGGCCTTAATGTCTGCTGCCATTTTTTCAAAGATACAATGTTAAGGAAATGGAATTTTTGAGTCTTCTATTTCAGAATTTACAACTTGTTAAGATTCCATATTTTTTTGTTCCCAATTTCTTGAATTAAATTACTATTTTCCAGTAAATTTGCCAGTTATTAACCATTTTTATGTTAGTATATTTTCTGTAAGTTTCCAAGTGAAATTTCACAAGGTAGTTTACGCTTCTTGGCCTGGGATTTTATTTATGTGGTAGAGCTATTTATGATATTTAATTTAGAGTTATTTCATAATTTCTAAATTTTTTTGTTGATTTAGAGTTGAAATGAGAGTGGATTTTTTTTTTAAATGTATAACATTGTATTCCCCATTTAAAGTTGTATTTGCTGCATAAGAATTGGATTGAGAGTAGAGTATCTTTTGATAGATAAGATCGTGTGTTCCTCTCCTTGAAAGTTTTATTTAAGGTTAAAAAATATGTAGAAAAGTGACAGAAAAAAGTGCTACATCTCTTCGATCTTAGTTATGCAAATGATTCTTCTTAGTTATGCAAATGCATGATTTACTTTTTCTTCATGTATAAATTCTCGCTGTTGCATGCATGATATATGCTTGAATAGCTTTTCAGTTACTGTGTATTGTTTCTTTTACCTTGTATGTGTGCTTTTGTTTCTTCAGTATTAAAATGCTATCTTTATCATAGCTCTGTAATCATTATCACTGTCTATCTTAGAATAATGTTTTTAGTTTAGATTTTGATTTTGCTATGAGTTTTAATTTCAGTTTAAATAACTTAAGAAGTAATATTAGTTTTTAACAGAATATGCATTTTGACATGAAGTCTTAAAATTCATTTGTCTGCAATATGATAAAATTAACTACTCTCTATAAAAATTTAGATCAGTGGTTCTCAGCCTGTTTTGCTCAACCCTTTTCAACATTGCTAGAAGATAGTCTCCCATTTGTTTACAAAACTAAAAAAGTACATATACATTTATTTAAATTTAGATTATTTTTTAATAAATTAAACAACACTGTGTATAGAAAATGTTCATACATACCAAATAATGAAAGAATAAAAATAGGAGGAGTTTAATAATGAAGTAGTTTTTGTAAGTTCTATAAATAATGAATAAATTAGATTAAATAAAGGTAGATTTTTGTATTTATAAGCTAAAAGTAAATATTTAAACAGCTAAATAAAAGGCTTACCACATTCCTCTCTGGAACTATGAAAATTCCCAGCAAGGGGAATTTCTCCCTGGTTGAGAACCCCTGAGATAGATATTTATGCATTTGTATATCTGAATATTTATCTATGAAGCATTTTACAGGGTATCATTGGGACATATCTGACTGGGCCACTCCAGAAAAAAGTGTGAATAACAATTTCACAGATGAATCTCCAACTGAAGGCCAAGATTCATCAAGCGTTCAGAGTACGGATTCTAACAGTTTCATCAGTCAGATTGAACTGGTGCCTGACAGAGGTGGAGAATTATGCCAAAAACGTGACCAAAATATTCCTAGCTTAGTCTTATCACCATCAAGACATAAAATAGAAGCCAATTCTAAATTAAACAACACTAATTGCCAAGTTGGAGAGTCTACCAAGTTCCTGAAAAAAGATGGCTCTCCACCACCATGTTATGAGAAACGAGGAAATGGTTGGGCAGAATTTTCTGATGATGAGGTCGATACATACGGCTTCCCTAAAAGAGGGGGTCGTGGCTTTAGAGTGGCACTGGAAAGTGGTGACTATGGTGCTGTGAACAGAGACTCAGAAAATATTTTCTTAGATGGACTAGATTCTGACAATGCTTCCGTGTCAGATGCATCTGTGAAAGTTTGTGAACTAGAGGATAGCGAAGCAGATGTCTGTGATGTTGAAGCATTACCTCCACCAAAGAACTATGCTTCTGTACCATCATTTGTGTGATAAGGCAATTAATTCAGTATTTAAATGATAATATGTTAAACGTATTTTTACGTGAAAATGCTGCAATATAGAAGAAACAGACTAGCTCATAATTATGAAATATATTGAAAACTGTATCTGGCCACTTAAATATTAGGCTCTTTAATTTTTTATAATTTTGATTCATCATTGTTTTATATGTCCGTTTTCACTACAGCTGATTTTCTTGCTTGCATTTTTCTTGAAATTGCCATGCTCTAAAATGTTAAAGACTTTGGAACTCACTGAAATACATTTTGAATCATTGTTTTATGTTTTGTGATCCTTAAAAACTTGTAAATTTATTTAAAATTTAATTGTTAACTGAAATTATTCAGCTATTCCTTTGCCTGGGAAGTGTTGACTTTTGTTGTTCATGCTGAAGACATACTACTATGCCTAGAAAGGATATACATGCAAATTGTATACTCTTTGAGAATCTTTTGTCATATTTATTATATTTATTTGCTTAATATGTTAATATATTCTGACATTTTAACATAAAATTTGGAAAACAAAGGGAGAAATACTTAGTTTTTATGTTATTATCTTACATTTTATTCATGCTAATGCAGAAAAGTGGCCTTTTATGGTTAAAAACAGTAATACAAGCGAATTTATCTTGAAATACATCTTTATCAAACTATATTAGGGTCCAAGAAATAAGAGAAGAAATGAGTAAGCCTGGTGCCTGTATAACTTGTTGCTGTTAAGTTTAGGTAAAAGGTAAAAAATGTACTACTATGATCCAGTGATGATGATGATGATGATGATGATAATGTAGCTGTTGGAACTGACTGTGATAATTTTGGCAGCTACAGTGCCTACCATTTCGGGCTATTATTTGGTAAAGCCCATCAATGAAAAATTTAAACCTCAGGTGTCCAAGTCCAGCCATTTTTATACATATAATTTTAAAATCAGACTGAAACTTTGTGAAATGATCAATGTTTTAAATGTCAACTTTATGTGAAAGATTTGAAAAATTTTGTTTCTTTAGCAATTTTGTGATACATTTTTATACAATTGCTTATACTTAAGTAATTTCCTTGGATTCTGCTAAAAAAATTAAAAATAGAATTTTAGATGTCTCAACACATATCCCCTGTTGCATGAAAGGGGTGTGAAAGTATTTATCTAAATATCGTATCTATCCCTTATATATATCTATATATTTCTATATATATAGATATATATAATATCTAATATATACACATATGGTGCTATGTTTATATTGCCATGGTCCTAGTAAATGAGTCATTTGACTGTATTGCATTTATTAGTTAATGGTCTGTAGATGCTGTTGTATATAAAATTCCTTGTAATAAAATATTACTTGTATTGAAGCATTTGTGTTTATTTGATGCATTATGTAATTTTATTTAAATAAATGATAAAAGGGAGAATATTTTGTAAAAAATGTAACAAAATACACTGCTGGCCACCGTAAATGCAACACCCTGAAGGAAGCATGCAAATAACATGAAATTTACAACATGCATTAGCAGAGGTGAGATATGCAAATGATTAGAATTTCAGCGCAGATGCGCATCACGCGCGTCAGTGGCGCCACTTCAAAGCGCTATTTAAGGCTTGGAATTTTCGGCAATTGTGGTTTTTTCAAAAAAAAAAAAAAAAAAAAAAAAACAACGATCAATTATGCCTCGTACCATCTGCGCGTACCATTCGACGCCGTTTACAGCAGAGTGGTCTGTCTGCAAGACGTCCATTGCTTCGTCTACCCTTGACGCAGAACCACATAAGTCTCTGCCGCCAATGGTGCGATGAAAGAAGGATGTGCATGGCAGAATGGGATGAAATTGTCTTTACTGACAAGTCACGCTTCTGTCGGATTCGAGTCTGGAGACACAGTGGAGAGAGGATGCTGAATAGCTGCGTTATGCACCGCCACACTGGTCCTGCACCGGGTATTATGGTATGGGGCGGTATTCGCTATCATTCTAGCACTCCTCTAATACGCATTGCCGGTACTTTATACAGCCAGCGCTACATCTCCGAGGTGTTGGAGCCAGTTGTCCTTCCTTACCTTCAGGGCTTGCTCATAGCCATATTTCAACAGGATAATGCGCGACCACATGTGGCACGCATTGTCCAAGGGTTCTTCCTCAGTTACCAGATTGAATTGCTTCCCTGGCCGGCTCGCTGTCCGGATCGCGTAATGGCAGATCGCACATTGAGTAACAGTGTTAAACGAATGTCGCATACTGCGCATGCCCAGGAAAAAATGTGGCGTAATTATTACGTTGGCGCGATTTGAAAAGAAGATAAATACGGTATATGGACCGCCATCTGATTGTAAACAAATTTGGTGTTTAAGTCTTCGTAGAGTATATGTGCAGTGTAAAGTAATTACTGTGTTAAAATAAGATTTTTTTCCTGAACTGCTCCAACAACTGGAAAGTTGAATGATATGATCAAGTATAAATTCGATTAAAGAGTGCAAAAAATGGGTAAAGGAAGTCAGCTTAAATACAGGATTTACCATACGTTCCATTCGTACATACGTAAAGAAACACGGAGGAATATAGCAAGTGTTTGTACATAACATTGAAGAAATTTTACTTTTCCTTAATGCTGTTAATGCTTGTTTATTTAACGTTCTTTTTAAGAAAACGAAAGCGGTATTACGTTAACAATTTAGTTAGAACAAATCCAGTTACAATTAACTGAATTATTATGTAACAAATTATATCTAAATAACGATTATTACGACACAACGCATGTTAACAATATTAAATGCACTGTTATTGACAAACTAAAATAAAGAAAAGGCAAGTGCAATCGTTATATGGAGGTTAAAATAACTAATAAACAAAGTTCCACAACATTGCAGTTGTACATCACTCGACAGCCATGGAAATCACGAATAAGCTAGCGTAGGGTTGCTTAGTCGCCAATATTTCGCCCCGCGCCAAAGGTACACCATCAAGCATGCGCAGTAAGCGAAATTCGCTTAACAGTGTTCAACTCAATGTGCGGTCTGCCATTACGCGTCCGGATCTTTGGCCGATAGAAAACATGTGGTGCATGGTTGCTGAGCGATTGACCCAGATTACATCTCAAGCTGCCACACCAGATTAACTTTGGCAACGTGTGGAAGCTGCTTGGTCTGCTGTACCCCACGAACATATCCAAAGTCTCTTTGAATCAATGCCGAGGCGTGTGGCAGCGGTGATCTCCTACAATGGCGGCTACTCTGGCTACTGATTCTTGAAGGAACCACACTTCACAGAAGTCTATAAATTTAATCATTTGATACTTGGTCAACATGTTATCTGCTAAATGAAGTTTGTTGTGATATCTCGTCTTTCTTGGTGTTGCAATTTGGGTGGCCAGCAGTCTTATCTGATATAAAAAAATATTATGTTCTTCTATGAAAAAATTTTTCAGGATTGGTATTTACTAACATAGAACTGTCTTGCCAAACATCCTGCATTGTTCATGTAATGTGAAGGAAAAGATAATTTTCGTTCAGCTGCTTTTATTAGAATAGTGTACCATGATTTTCCAGTAAAAGTTTGAAAATGGCAATTAAGTATACATATTGTAAATCTTTCTGTTTGAAAAGGCTCAATAAGAACTATTTAGTTTGAGTTCCATCGTTGTCGGCTGCTGGTTTAGTCGTTCATAGCCTATTTTAGATAATGCTATTCGCAGCATATCACGATGTAATGACTCTGTTATGAAGAACTTAGATACTTATACAAACTCCATGAAAAATAAGAATGATCGAAAAAGATGTTTTGAATGATTTGATGTTATCATTTTTTATTAAAACGTATCTTTATCAACCATAACTTCATCTAAATCTTTGCACATTTTTAGCTAGAGAGTGTTTGCCATCCAAAACACAACATCATGAAGGAATCATCTGATAGACTTAAAATGTGCGTCTTTGGTAGACTTCTATAGGACATGCAAATGATTAGCATCGCATCGCATGTGCAAATCACGTGCGCCAGTAATACCACAAAGAAATACTATGTAAAAGGAGAGTAGTAGTTTGTTTTTAAATATTGGATTTGCGTGGTTTTCAGTTACTTTTTTACTGAAAGCTTAATAATACCTCCCTCTCTCCCCCCCAAAAAAAATTCTACCAAGATTTTGAATTTAGCAGAGAAAGAATTTTGATTCATACAAGAGCTGTTTATAAAAGACAATTGTTTTTAAATTGCGAGTGGGCGGGTGGTAAAGGCAGTTCGACTTTGTTTCTAAATCCTAGGAAAATGGTTTGGCGACATTTCTAGTATTTTCTTTGAGTAATGCGAGTGCAAGCAAGTTTTCCTTAGAAGGCTCTCCACAGAGGCATCCCACTTTTAGGCAGATAGCCCTAGTGTTTTTTGCCGTATTCTAATAACTTAGCCTTTTAAACTGCTGACCAACGACTGCAGATGGCGTGTTCCGGCCACCGTGCGCAGCTAGTGGCATATCTTGGTAACATTATCGCCTTTCATTGGGTTCCCATCTGTATGCTAGTTGTGGAGTAACTACAAATTAAGTGAATTGTCCGTAAGCAGCTCGTCGGATTAGTGAAAAAGCAAAAATGAAGGAGTTGGAAAACCACTGCGTCTATGTGAAATTTTTCGTAAAATTGGGAAAAACTTGCACAGAAACAATCCAAATGCTGCATGATCCGAATGCAATGGCATGATTGGTTTTTAAGGAGGGCAGAAGTTCGGTTGCCCGAGATTAGGGAACTGAACAATCTTCCACATGAACGCATGACCAATACATTCAGATTGCACTTTAATTTTGTGCGACGGGGGGCAAAATGTAAATAAGAAACACTACCAGATACTTTTTAAAGCGATCGAAAAATGGTGTTCATAGGGAAGAGATCTGAACTGCGTGAGAATCAGTCACCCGAATGTTTCATCATCACAATGCTCCAGCTTGTGTTTAAATGCTTAAATGCTAATTGCTTATGCTTATATTAGCCCAGTTGGGCTTTAATAAGCTATATTGATCTAATCCCCTAAGGACAATCAAAATGTCAACTATCAGCTAGTTCCCAGCCAGGAAATCGGAGCGGGTAAGGAAAAGAGGGCCCATCGGCCATAGTGACAAAGTCCAATCATCAAAGTAACTTAACTCTTACCCCTGAGACAAGAGTAATAATCACGTGTATGGAGCTATGAAGATGCAAAAGAAATGAAAATACATGAAATGTGCATAGGATACAGTGTTGAACATGTAATAAACAAATGAAAGTGAAGTAATGTACGCATAAAAATGTGTTATTTACATATTTGAAAACGAGTGGGCTAAGTGACAAAATTGTGATCCCTCATTCTGTGAGCCGTAAAAGGCCTGATATTGTAGTCCTCAGGAATGCAGACATAGTTCAGTACAGCATTAAAGTTTCCTTTACTGCAATTCAAGCCTTTGTCAAAGAACTTGCTGTTAAGTTTTTGCAGATATTTGTCAATATATTCAACTTGTAAATCATCGTGCAGGAGTTTGTTACGGATGTAAAAATGCGCTCCTGTCATGGTGCGTAAGATTGTGTTTTGAGTCACCTGCAATTTGTTGATATCTGAGCTCGTAGCAGTCGCCCAGACAGGGGACGCATAACACATAATTGGTCTTAAAATGGAAATATAAATCTGTCTTTTCCTTCTCAGATCTAACTGCGAGCTGCGCCCTAGCAGTACTTGTAATTGTTGAGCAATTCCTCTGGTCTTGTTTGCAATGTAATTGACATGCGTACTCCACTCCACGTGAGTCTTCGATTCAAGTAAACACCTAAATACTTGGCCTTGTTTACCATCGGGACACGTTGGCCGAATAGGTAAAGTGGCTGAACTGAGACCAGTATTTTCTTCCTTCTAACAAGAAGTAGCTGTGATTTAGTCGCATTGATGGAAATCTTCCACCTGGAGCACCACTCCTCAATGTCCATAATTATATCCTGCATAACAGAAATTGCCCTGTTAGGCTGAATAGATCTGACCGCTACAGCGGTGTCATCCGCATAGCAGGCCAGCAATGTATTTCTGTTGAGTTTATCCCGCGGGAAATCAGCCGCATAGAAAAGATAGAGTACTGGGCCAAGACAGGACCCCTGGGGGACGCCTGCAGCGATAGTTTTGTATCCAGAATGACTTTGCTTGCAGCTAACTGTAAAGTAACGATTTGCAATATAAGATCTGGTGAGTAAGATCAGTTCTCTAGGCAAATTCATCATTATCAATTTATATATTAAGCCCTCATGCCAGACACGGTCAAATGCTTTGGCCACGTCCAGCATGAGCACTGCAGTACAACTCTTATGATGCAGAGCAGAGCCGATAAATTCCACAAGCCTAATCAGTTGTTTAGATGT